TGGGCCTCAATTTGCCAGGAATATTCTACTTTGCAGGAACTTACAGGTAGCCTACTTCTGGGTACCAGTCGACTGGTCCCTCTAAGGAAAGGGTCTCTTCTTGACTTGGGGGTTAGCTTTTAGACTAAGGTGTGAATGTAGTTTAGGTTAGGTTTAAAGGGTCAGGTATGTATTGGTAATGGACAGAATTAGGGTAAGAGTCAGTGGAAAGTCCCCTTAATGATAGCAGGACATAATGTGTGAGTGTGTTTGTACCTTTTCATGGTGTGCAGTCAATGTCTGTCCGGTACAGGCTGCAGGACAATCTCCCTTCACCTCCCATCTCTGCCAATGCAGCTTCTCTGAAAGCACGAGAAGAGCCCCTAACTAGGCAGATCTGGCAGCAAAAAGATCTCATTTTATTTTCTTAGTCTAAAGGTAGATTATTCAAAGGTGTTCTGAAAGTTGGTTGGGAGTTTCTAAAAGCTACTCTTTCTATGGTGAGTCTTAGAGCCACAGATATTTGTTACTTTACAGACCTTTGAGGCTCAGCATAATGTCATCAGGGTCTGCATTGTTTGCATTTTAGATTTAGAGGGTTTGTTCCCTTTAAGACAATAAAGATTTCATTTTAAGAAATGGAAATTATGCCTTGGAAAAGGTGAAGTGTGAAGTATAGCTTTCAATGTGCGTTTGATCATGGAAGTTAACTATGTGCTGGATAATCGCGAGTTTTCAGTCTCACAAAACATCCATCTTGAAAGACTCCCGCAAATAAGTCTGTCTCATAACAACCAGCGAGTAGAACCAATGACATGCCAGCAGGGATTTTTGGGCGGGACATGAAGTAATGACAACAGCCAGAAGGACCTTGCCGGGGCATTACAAACGAGGCTACGCTGGAGTACTCACATGTTGATACCGCAAGTGACTCGGTTTTAGCGAAAATAGTGACAATTTCTTGTTTAAAATAAGCAAAGAGAAGCACTTTGTGCACGTGTAGATGGGAAAGATGTCTGCGATAGGATTTGGGAACAACTTTGATTTATCAGCTTACTCCGCTAGTTGTGAAAACACTCAAGAACCTGCAGACGAATTATGCTGCTACGATTGGCTGGAAGCGTATTATGGAAGGCGGGTACTAGCCAATCAGCTCAAAGTATTGTACTAAATCCCAGATTGATAACGTAGAACTCAGTTCTACACATATTAATCTGCCTACTGTCCTCCTTGAGGACCAAACTTGAATGAAAGATTTTAGTCTTTAGCAAAAAATTGTGATTTTGTTCTTCAGACAAAGACTTGTGGACATTTGGACAATATTGTCTTAAACATGAAGAATATCTTTAACATTAAAGATCTTCAGAATTCCTCAGGGAGCAAGTGTTAGGTGGGTAATCTCTGACTGCAGAGATTGATGCTGATGCTTGAAGAAAGATCGGTTTATCCACAATGTCTATTCGTATGACGTTTCACATTTGAGACGCGCACCCGTTTTTTTTGTTTTTTTTTGGGGGGGGGTTGTCCATAAGTGGGCCGGTGTAGATGGAGAAATGCCAGGGTCCGAAAATCGTTCCCAGTCCGACCCTGGGTACAGACAGCAAGAGCCATACATCTAACTTGACCAGAAGGTTCAGAATTAAAGACATATTCTTGCCCTTTAAGCACATATATGCTTTGTAAGTTTACCTGTATTAAGAACATAAAGGTTCTTACAGAATTCCCCTCCTGCTCCATAACCTCCGAACATGAAGACCTGATCTCCAGCCTGAGCGAAGCTCTGGCCCCATCTGCAGAAAAAAGGTCTGTTATCCAAAATTCAGACTTTTATATTATTTCATTAAGGTTTGGCAGATCTTGTTTCTCACAGAGCAGGAGGAGGAGATCCTCTGGTTTTTACCGGTGTCCAGGTCAGAGACACTGAAATGAAGTCTGAATTCATCACCAACGAAAACAACATCTTTTATTCTCTTTCTGGGGACAGAAGTATAGGTTTTGGACCTGTGTTGAAGACCAGTAGGTCATCAGTAGGGTCCCCCTTCACTACGCCTCCGTAGACGTAGATGTTGTCTCCAGCAGCGGCAGAGCTGTGGCGGAGACCTCTGGGAGCCACGCCGCTGGTTGAGAGGCATTCCCAGGTCAGAGACACTGTTGGAAACAAGGAACACCTCCATCACAGTTGTGTGAGGCCTGAAGGAGGCGATCTTCTGACCATGATGCTTCGCATCCTCACCGACGTCAAAGCTGTAGACACCTGGGAGACATTCAGAGGCTTCAGGACGGGAGGCTCCTCCAAACAGGAACAGCTTCCCTTTGACGAGGCTGGGCAGCGGGAGGAAGACCTTCATGGATGTTTCATTGGATCAAACAGAGTCACAGCAGTTCTCAAGGGTTTCTGAAAGCTTTTTAAAGTTCTCTTTTCTACCCAGCTCCAGTCCTCTATTTCTACATAAAACTTTGTTTTTTAACTGAAAAACTTTGAAGAACAAAGAGGAGGAATCGGGCACCTCTGCCCAGAGCACCACAGACTGAGTTTCCAAATGAAATCAGAGTTCCTGTCTGGACTCCAGTTCAGATCACATCGCTATGTTACTCTGCGTCAAATGCTCAGAACTTTTCTCTGATTCTTTGGACCTTCTCCTCATAGCATTTACCTCTTTATGCTTGATGTCCCTCATCTTTCCTTATCCAGCAACCTAATCTCCTTCATCCTTCTTCTCTACCTCCCTCATCCATCAACCCTCTTCATCCTTATCTCCACCACCCATCTTCCCATGCTAACTCATCGTGAAGCCCCCATTCCCACCTCTCTAAAGTAACATATTCACTCCGTACCCCAGGACGCATCTAGATGGATATGAAGGCAGAATTCAAGTCAAAAGTGCCCATGCGTTAAAATACTGATACGAATAATCATAAAAAGCAAACCAGGAAGCACAGAGATGAGCATGGACTAATGTGTGATTACTGGGACTGTTGGTACTCAATCTGCATGTATAGATCATTTCAAATGAGTGTGAAGATTAGTTTATGTGGGTGTGTTTCTTTGTTTTTTAATTAGACATGAGCACTTTTTTGACTGCCTCCTTCCACTGAGCAGTTAAAAAGATGACATGATTTACATCCAATCGATGTCTACATTTGGTTGAAAAGACGTTGAAATCCCAGTTTTCAACATCTTTCATTGGACTAAATGGGGACAATATCAGACCAACCAAACAAAACCCAATTTTCAAAAACTATTTCTTGGATTAAATCAAGACTGTGATGGATGGACCAGATTTAGCCTAAAAGCCAACGTCTAAATGATGTCTGGTGTTTGGTGGGAGGGACTCTTGGTCAATGAACCTGTTGTTGCTGTGGATGCCCCCTGCTGGTGGACATGTCAGGGTGGGATTTACCAGAGTGTGTGTCCTTCTCTGGCAGCTGGAACTTCTCCACTCTGAGGGATCTCCTCCCAGCTAACCTCGTCAGGAGTAACTGTAACCAACAAACCGGGAATCATTTCAATTCTATTCAGTTTATTTATATAGCGCCAAATTCACATCATGTCATCTCAAGGCAACCAGACCAGATCATCCAGTCAGACTGATTCAAAGTTTTCTATCTAAGGAAAACCAGCTGATTGCATCGACTCATTGACTCTTCAGCAATCCCTCACACTAAGCATGCTTGTAGCGACAGTGGAGAGGAAAAACTCCCTTTGAACAGGAAGAAACCTCCAGCAGAACCAGGCTCAGTGTGAGCGGCCATCTGCTGAGGCCCACTGGGGTTCAAGGAGACAGAAGCAGACATAGAAAAAGAAGCATAGATACAAAAGGCAACTGTCAACCAGCTCCACAGGCGGCCCCGTCCAGGAAACACACAGCCAGGCAGACGAACTCAGAGCCAGCTCCCATGTCAGAGGATGAAGAGAGCACATCCAGTTAGTCACAGTCAGAGAAACAGGACTACACTGAAAAACAGGCCAATCTCCAGCATCTAGAAACAAAGGTGTTGATGGAAGCAGCACAGCTGATTTCCAGACCACTTTTGTGTCAGACACATGGCACCTCACTGATAAAAGACAAAACCTAAAATACCATCGACATTATTGAAGAATCTGTTTTGGTTTTGTTGGCATTTAGGGGCTGAATGGTTTGTCTGCAACTGAAGGGTTGCCGGTTCAAACTACAGCTCTAGCTTTCAGTGTCGTTGTGTCCTTGAGCTTGACACTTCCTCCTCAGTGCCCATGGATGGTAATCAGAGGGCCCGCCGGCGGCAGCTGTGCACTATTGCCTTGTCTCTGTCAGTGTGCCCCAGGGCAGCTGTGGCTACACTGTAGCTCACCACCATCAGTGTGAGTGAATGACTGAATGCAGTGTGAAGGGGTTTGAGGTCCCCTGACTTCTGCACTGTAGATAAAGCTGTTTACCATTTATTAAATAAAGAAAGACACAATATGAAAAATGTTTCAACCTCCAGAAATCATGTTAAAAGGGAGTTTTTCCTCTCCACTGTCGCTACAAGCATGCTTAGTGTGAGGGATTGTGTTTGAGTCAATGAGTCAGAAAACTTTCAATCAATCTGACTGGATGATCTGGTTAAACTGTAAAGTGCCTTGAGATGACATGTGTTGTGAATTTGGCGCTATATAAATAAACTGAGTGGAATTGAATTGAAATCCAACGTCTTCCTCTCAGGACATTAGATTCAGACACTACTAGCACCATCTAGTGGTTCCATGACAGCCTTACACCATTTTGAGAAAAACACGATGGCGAAGAAAATTAAAACATTTCCAGGTTGAAACCAACATATTTTTATACATTTTTATTTTCATAAAGTTTATGATGACAATGTATTTATAACTGTAACTTAATGCAATGTCAGAAAAGCTGAAGTTCTCATTTGAGAACATTAAAACTAAACATTCAGAGGACTCAATTAGGGCTGCAGCTAACAACTGCAAATAGATCATTTGTCAATTATTTTTTGAAAAATAAGCGGACAGCCAAAAGGTTCCTTAGAGATGACTTTTAATGAAGTTAAACCAGGTAAAACCAAAACGTTTCCACTTGAGGAGTTCTGGATAGAGCAGATTGACAGATTAAGTCAACTAGTGTCAAGTAACTAAGTTTGGGTACTATTATTTAAGAAGCTCTTTGTGGTTTCTGTTATTTAGCTTAGAATTTTATTCTGTTAGAGATTTTTACGGTTGCTCCCTACATTTTAACACAATTATCTATACTTTCTATTCCTACTTTCTCCAAACTGGCTCATTACTTTTATACATATTATTAACAATATGATGTATCAGGACTAACAATCCTAGGAAACTAAAGAGAATCATTCCAGTTGGAGCCCAGTTAGTTTATAGAAAAACCCTGTTGGAGATATGGAGGAAGATGATGGATCAGATCAAGACATTTCCCATTAGGTTCCACTTTATTACATTTTATATTTATATGATGACCATCTTTTGGGGATTTTCTAACTTTAATTGCTTAATTAGTACTTTTACCTACATCCTTTACTTCAGCAAAGAAAGTTTGACACCCCTGCAAGGAAATGTTTAAAAAAGCCCCATTTAGGGCAAGAGTTCCACATCTGTACTTCGAACATTTAAAAGGCAGCAGGGATGCTCTAGGAGCGCCGACTGCTTTTTCATTGAGGTTTCCTGCCACCTATGTCTTTGGAAAGCTCAGTTGTCTGAATTTCATAATTATATATCTTTTTAAGTAAACTGGTTTTTATCTGTTACTAATCCCATGTACAAAAACTTGGATCTAAGAAGATCAACAAAAGTGTTTTCATGGAGGAAATAATTTATTTAACAGTCTCTTTTAAACCTAAAGCTAAAGAATGAAACCCTCTGAAGGCCGTATGTTTATGGTCATCCATACCTGTCAGCATGTGGAAGTCAGAGAAGTAAACAGGGCTGACCTAAACAAAAAGAAAAAGTTTAGGATTTAATGTATGTTACCAGTTAGAAAAAGTATTAAAACGATTCATTAATGATATGAATAAAGTTGTTTCCTGCTTCAGATAATGATCACCACCTCTGGGCTGATGCTGCATGATCCGCCAAACAGGAAGGCGACGCTTCCCGCCACAGCCAAAGCGTGACCATGTCTGCAAAGTTCAAAGACAAATGCAGCCAGTTTTATAATGTACCACACAGCTCAGTATGCTGTAGCTGCTCCTTTAGCTGCAGCTGTAGCTGTGCCTGTAGCTGCGCCTGTAGTTGGACCTGTAGCTGCTGCTTTAACTGTGCCTGTAGCTGCGGATGTAGCTGTACCAATAGCTTTGCCAGTAGCTGTAGCTGCGCGTGTAACTGTACCTGTAGTTTTGCCTGTAGCTGTAGCTGTGCCTGTAACTGCAGCTGTAACTGCGGTTGTAACAGTGTCTGACACGTCATCTCACCTTGGACTTGGAGGTTCCCCCCTGACTTCTTTCTCCAGCCAGTGACCGCTTGCTAAAGCCATCTTCACCTCGCGTTTCCCTTTTGTTCTTGTTCCTGTCAAACATTCATTTAACAGATACACAGAGAGCTACGCCACAGATGTGGTACCATTATGTTCCTGTTTCCATAGAAACAAAGAAGGAAAGTGTGAGCCTGCTGCTGATGATCACTGAACAGGGAATGGAAAGGAGTAAAGTAAAGAAATGAAACATAATGAACGACACGAAACAGTAAAGAAGAAACCAGAACCAGGACCAAGACCTCAGGGTCATAAACCCCTGAAAGCAGAGACTCAGACAGATCAGGGTCCAATTAGCAGGGTGAGGGTGAAGGAAGCTTTTTGGTGTGTAGAATAAGTTCTATATAAATATAGCGACAGAAAAACAATTTCTTGATAAAATTGTGCATTTTAAAATTAAAGTATCTTTAATGATGAAAAATGATTACTTATACAGGATAGAATAATAATAATAAAATTGGTTTGGGGTCAGTGTGACAAATGGACAATTATGTCTGTTTTTGTATAGTTTATTGAACCAACTTATTCAAAACCTTTTTTATTTCTTTGTTGTTCTGTCTCTTCAGGGGACATTGTGTCATGATCTGCCCTGATAGCTGGCCTTAATTGTACATGTCATTCACCTGCTTTAATCTGCCCGGTCTCTAATCATCTCTGATCTCATCCACCTTTACGTTCGGCTTTATATTCGGCTCAGTCCAGCTATCAGGGCTACATCATTGTCTGTCTGTGTGTTTATGCTGGTTAGTTTTTCTGTTTAGTTTATTCCATGGTTCTGTCCTGGTTCCTGGCGGCCAGCGGATTGAGAGCGCTTGCCTTGTCTTCTGATTGTGCACTGGTCCTGCTCCATGGAGCCCTCAGGGTTTTGGCTCAGGATGTGGGGAGGATCACTTTTACTCCCATAAGCCTGGCTCCTTGGAGGAGACTAGTTTAAAGTCTTGCAGAAATCCTGGTACCATGTCTTGTCTCTGTCCCTCAACCACCGAGCCTGCCTGTCTGCACCTCAGCGTGTTTGTGTGAACACGTTGCTGGACTCTCTGGAACTCTGAACCGGCCTGAACACTCTGTGGATTCCTGAAACCCTGTTTGTGTCGGTTTCCTGTGTGGATCAGAATCCCTGTTGGGCCACGGACTCCTGGATCTCAGAACTGCCAGGTTCTGACCTGGATCGGTTTCCTGTCAGCTGTCTGTGGATCATGCATCAGCACCAGCCTGGACGGCTCTGCGCTGGATCCTGTTCAGCAGTCCATCAGCTGGATCCTGCCTTCCTCAGAGAGGATGGACTGAACTTTCAGACCAGGTAAGTGACTCACTTGGATCAGATCATCGTGGTCACCTATCTGTGTTTCGTCCTCCAGAGTGTCAGTGATTGAGCGGTGCCCCGCCCCCCTCCTGCAGCCGCCATGATCTGCAGTTTTTCTGCAGCCTGCTTCTGTTCTGTTTCAGTCTGTTTATTTTCATAAACGTTTTGTACTTTCCTATTGACTGTCTCACTTTGAATACTTGGTCCCATTTTATGGCACAATTCTATAAAACAGGACAGTTTTATAGAATTGTACTGTAAATGAACAACTCTACTGTAAATGAACTGTAAATAAACTCCACGCAAATGTATTTGATTACTTGTAGTGACACTATGAGACAGTAAACAGCAGCAGCAGTGAGTTTATAGTCTGAATAATCTGATCATGGTTGACTGTAGAAATTAATATTATTGGCAGATATAAGGGACTCCAAGATCTTTTTTTGCTTGGGGCCCCCATGGAGATGTGGACTGGCTGCAGCATCATGGCCTGCATTTAGCTTCCCTTATTCCCTTATTTTTTCTTATTATAGATGAATAACTCCTTCTTAATATGTTTATTTTCTGGAATTTAATTTTTAATTATGAAAAACAACTTAAAATATATTTTTAAGGACGTCCTGATGCAATAGAAACCCAACATTCATGTCAAAGGACACTTTCTTCTGCATCTTTAACGAAGCATTGATGCTCTTTGTCCACTAGGTGGCACCAAAACCTAAACAAGGTCCAATAATCGCGTTTATCTCAGAGAAAGACAGTTTCAGCGGTTGCAGCTTCATCAGATGAAAACTCACCTGCTGAGGTTCCCTGGAAGCAGCGTCTCTTCTCTGCTGGTTCTTCCTGAATCCACTGATCAGTAACTCTCTCACAGACCTGCAGCTCAGCTTACAGGTAAACCTACACCTGCCCTGTCTACAGGCACACCGTTGCCTGGCAACAGCGTCCAAGCAACGAGACGCCATGCAGGAGGACAGCTGACTACCATCACACCTGGGCTCTTATTTTCCAAGGCTCTCGTGCTTCATCTCAGCTTATTATAGAAACAGATCATTTAGAGACGTTTTTTCGTTTTTTTCTACATTGCAGAAGAGCAGACATGCCCCCCCCCTCCCCCCCATATGAATAACGTCACCTGGTTCACATGAGGAAGAGCGAAACAGCAAACTCACTCGACAGAAAGAGGCTCAAAGGGGATAAAATATAGAAATGTAGCCGCCTCAGCTTCTATATCCACAGATCTAGATGGCTTTTATATCCAAGCTTTACATAAAATAGCCTGATTATTTTCAGTAAGTAATTCCAAATCTCCCTTTAAGCTTAAAAGAAAATGCAGTAGCTACTGACTATCAGTGATTGGATGTAAAAATAAGTAGAACTGTAGTTAAATTTTTTTAATTTATCTGTATGCATGACATTTTTGATAAAGTGAAGAAAGCAGCCCTTTTCGAGGTCTTCTGGACAGCAGGGGGCGCTCCTACAGACCTTCTCTGACTGCTGTGGCATCAGCCATCTTCTATGAAGTGTCTGTTGGAGCAGTGGCTCATCTGTAGCTGAGAGGAAGCGTCTGGATCAGCTGATCAGGAAGGCCAGCTCTGATTGGATGCCCTCTGGACTCAGGGGTGGGAAACAGATGGATCCTAACTAAATGATCATCTCTGCTGGATAATGTCCCCCCCCCCATGCATGAAGCTGGTGCTGAACTGGACAGCTCCTTCAGTGACAGCCTGCTGCACCTTAAATGCACCAGGGGGCGTTATCACAGATCCTTCCTCCCAGCAGCTGGAAGACTCTAGAACCACCACTGTTCCCATCAACCTCAAC